TTGTGCACAGAGCACCTAGGAGAAATTCAGTCCTTTCTTCTGGTGGCAAAGGTGACACGGTGAGATCTGCCATGTCCATTTCAGATTCAGAGGTCCCTGCAATGGTTGATGGAGATGGAGAACCCATAGCCATCCCAACTGTTCTGAGGAGCTGGGTACATTTTGCTTCCGAACTGTTTGCGTGTTCCTATGGTCCATGTGTTTGTTCAGGACCGTTGCTCCTATCTGAACTTTATATGTCACTGATCCTGACCTTGTGTCGACCATTTCTCTTACCCACGCAGGGCCATTCCCATGGTTCCTACACCAAACTTGGCCCCCTTAAGTAAATTATCTCTCTCACTTAGCGGAGTCTTGTGTCTGGCATTGGCATTCCTGATGCCATTTTATCCTTCCCCCTAGGAGTGGGAAGATCAGATTTAACCTGTTGCAGAATGTTCTCCCCATTAGCAACTTTGATGGAGCTATCCCTGTAGTTACATGAGGGACGGTCCTACAATCAACTAGGAACAGGGACAGTTTGGTATCTAGTGAAGCTATAGGCTGTTTCTTTAAGACTGCTTTCAAGGTTTGGATGCTCTTTCTGCCAGGCCACTGGATGATGAATGGTATGGAGCTCTCCTTATATGTTGAATCCCAAGTGACTTTAGGAAATTCTCAAATTCCCTGCTGGTAAACAATGGCCCGTTGTCTGTGACCAACACATCGGGGAGTCCATGTATTACAAAAGATGTGTGCAGCTTTCCTATTGTCGTCCCTGCGTTTGACGAATGAACTCTATGCATGTCCAGCTGCTTTGAATGGATGTCCACAATGACTAAGAACAGTGATCCCATGGAAGGACTTGCATAGTCGATGCGTAACTGAGTCCAGGTTTTGCCTGGCCATTCCCAATAATGTGGGGGAGCTGCCAGCAGCAATTTTTGTCTTTGTTGGTACTCTGGGCACTACCCCACCAATGTGGCTTTGCCTGCGTCCAATCCTGGCCACCAGATATAACTCCTTGCCAACATCTTCATATTGGAAACCCCTGGATGACCCTGGTGGAGTTCAGCCAGTATCTGGTGGCGACCTTAGCTCGGGACAACCCTCTTGCTCCCCATCGTGATATGCCATTCTCTACTGTGATCTGGTCTCCCCGGGTCCAAAAAGGTTTCAAATTCTGGTTGTGATGCCCCTTTGGTTTCTATCGTCACCACCAGCTCTATCAGTTTTACCAGGACCAGATCTTTCTGCGTCCAAAGTCCGATATTGTCAGCTGTGACTGGAAGCGTGTCTAGGAAACTTAAAACCATTACGATTCTCCCAGTGGTGATCCCACAGGTGGTGTATTTGCCAGCGGGAGGTGGCATCCACTACTTTGGCCTTCCGGACCATGTTCCGACTTGTAATTAAATGTACTTTAGAGCCCACTGCTGAATTTGGCCTGAAGCTATGGGCGGCACTGCCTTTTCCTCTTTAAAGAGACCAAATAGAGCTTTGTGGCCCATTATTATTACAAATCTACATCCATAAAGGTATTGGTGGAACTTCCTGACTCCAAATATGACCATCAAACTTTCTTTCTGTGTCTGGGCATATTTTATGCTCTGCATGAGGCAACGTCCTGAATGCATACACAGTTGGGTGTTCCTCTCCTTTGGGCCACCTATGAGTTAATACTACACTGATGCCATTTGAGGAGGTATCACGTGTCAATACCAGATCTCGCCTGGGATCATTGTGTGCCAATACTATGGAGGGTGATAGTTGTTTCTTCACTTCCCTGAAAACTTTGGCTTGGCTACACGACCATTTCCAGGGCTGACCCTTGATGCAAAGGTGTCAGGCTGGAGGCCAGGCTATGAAGAACTTTCTGGAATAATTCACCAGCCCAAGGAAAGACTTAAGCTGCAGTACAGTGGTGGGAGCCAGGGCACCTTTGATCGCCCCCACTTTATCTTCCAGCAGGTGTAACCCAGTCTTGTTGATTCTGTAGTTCAAGTAGCTCACTTGAGGTGCCAGGAACACACATTTTTTTCCTTCTAAGGCATACGCCCACCTGGCAGAAAGATCTAAGGACTATGTCCAAGTTCCCTCAGTACCCCTTATTGGTCTTCCCTGTTATAAGCACACCTTCTAGATAAATGGCGACCTGGGTAGACCATGTAAAATGTTCTTTATCGTTTGCTGAAAAATTGCACAAGCTGACAATACTCCCAAGTGGCAATCTTTATACTGGTACAAACTTTTATGTGTACAAATTGGAGCATACTTCTGGGAATCTTCATTTAACCATAATTGCAAGTACGCATGGCTCATGTCCAGCTTCGTGAAGAACAGCCCCCGCTGCAGGTTTGTGTATAAATCCTCTATGTGGGGGATTAGGTATTTATCCAACCATAGAAAGTGGTTTACTGTTTGTTTAAAAAGGCGAACCGACCTTTTGGGCTTCAAAAGTGGTATGACCGGTGCTTCCTTCCATGATTCCTTCACTTTTGAGTCCTCCAGCTTTCTGATTTCTGCCTCTACTTTTGCCTGTAATGCAAATGGCACTGGGTGGACCTTGCAGAATCGTGGAATTGCTTCCCGGTCACCATGCAAGATGACCAAGTCTACTTTGATAGTCCCTAGACATTCCTGAAAAAACCACCAGGCAGCCATTTTCTCATCAAAAAGTGAATCTTTCTCAACCAATTTTGCTCTATCAAGCTTGGGCCCGAGCCTTTTACAAACATCAGTGGCAACTCTACCAACAGCTTCTCATATGAGACCAGAAATGAAGTTGTACCCATAATCTGTAAAGGCTCCCTGGTGTAGGATCTCAGTGCAGGCAAGGCCTTGGCAAACATAAGGGTTGGAGTCCACAGCAAATATTGTTAAGGGCTGGTCCTTTGATCACTGAAATGGCCGTGCTGGTATCGACCTCCATTAGAACCGGGTGAGCGTTGAACCGGGGGTTATTTTGATTGGTTCTGATTTGGATGTTGCTGAGCAATTTTACTGTTCCAAGCCAGATGTAGGTGGACTTTCTAGGGAGTACACTCTCCTGGATAACAGCCTGTGAATTTTCTTACTCAATTCAGGCCTCGTGGAACTCTCTTGCTGCCTTGATACCATGCGGCAACTACAATGGCTTGCCAGCCCGGATCTTGAGGAAAACTTTAACCGTTTGGCAGAGGCTTGGCTTTGTTTTGGGCTGACCTAGAGCCCCTCTGTTCAGAATATGTCCTGAGTGAGGCTGTGCAGTTGTCTTCACCCAAGTGGTGTTCCTCAAGCTCAGTCGGCCTGGCGAGGGTGACCATTTCCATTGGAATACCCTGCAACTCATATGCTCCACTTGCCGTATTTTCCAATGATGAAGCCATTTGCAATGCCTGTCTGAAATCCAGTTGGACGTCAGCTAGTAGGTGCTTTTGCATGGGTACATCATTAATCCAACATAGCAACTGGTCTCTTGGCATCTAACTTAGGGTTAAACTCAAGTCACATGCCTCTGCCCGTCGATTTAACCTAGTCAAAAAACCTGATACAGATTCCCCTGGTTCTCAAATTGCCGAGTTAAAACAATAGCATCTCAGAAGTACAGGAGGCTTGGGGTTGTAATATTCTTTAATTAAATCCATCAACTCTTGAAAAGTTTTTGAATTTGGTGCCTTAAGGAAAGTAAGGCTCCTAATAACGAAAAAAGCTGTGGGTCCACGAGCTGTCAGGAGATTTACTCATTGCTTTCAATCTGCCTCAATGTCATTTGCATGGAAAAGCAACACATTCCTTCCACATAGTGGACCCAGTCTTCGATGGCAGAGTCAAACAAGTCAAGCTTCCCAAATAAAGGCATGATGCCAGAAATGCTTACCCCAAGTCAAAGATGACGGTTGCGAGCGGGTTTCTTCAGAAATGTGCTTTACTCTCATCACCACTGATACAACTCTGCAGAAGCTGGTATCCCGTCATTAAGTCACCCTTTATTTCATGTGGAAGATCCTTGACACTGGTCCGACTTCCTCAGAGCCAGCTCTCAGAGTGAACAGAAACCCTGGCAATCCTGTTTATATCTGTCAGCCAGGGCTCCCTGAATGGACCAGATTAACAGCCCCAATCAGGGAACTCATAATCTATGAGGTCCACTTGGGTAACCTTGTTACAATCACAGCACCCCTCAACTCCCAACTTCCCTGTCTTGAGCATATATACCGCTTTTATCTAGCTAGTTTCAATTCTGAAGAAGGCTCACTGGACTTGAAGTGCTAAGTCTTTTTTCTCTCTGTAGATGCTGCCAGACCTGCAATTTCTGTTTTTTGGAAAAAAAAACTTACGTTTGCTCCCTTAACATGAAAACTAGATGGGCAAGGTACTACTGAAAGACTCACTGGATGTTTTTTACTGCTCCCATTATATACATAAAATACAGACACAGACACTTTGGCTAAACTTCATATCGTCAATTTACAGGCATTATTATGGTGATAATATCATGAGGAAGGGACAGTGGACTCTGATTTCTCTTCACAGATGCTGCCAGACCTGCTGAGCTTCTCCAATAATCTTTGTTTTTGATTTACAGCATCCGCAGTTCCTTCGATTTTTATTATTATGGTGATGGTGTCAATGAGCGTGCCTCTTAAAAGTATACTGCCATTCCAGCTGTGAGACAGCACAGAACGCTAAATGAATAAAGCTGAATTCATAACTTACAGACAACCTTGAGCAACAGGATCTTTCAGCAAGTAACAAAGATTATAGAAAAAGAGGAACACTGAGTGCTGTGTGTAATATCTCCTCCGATACACTGGCAACAGTTTTAACTTAACTTGGCACTGGGGAATTGACGCAATTCAGTATAAAATTGATTGCACCCACCGACTTGACTCTCCATTGACGTCAACGATTAATCTTGGTGGGTGTGAAATCTGTACTCTACCTGTGTGCTTCCCCAGCTGGGAATTACCACCAGTTATATGGGTTTTAAAGAGAATGGACTGTTGTGCATTAAAAGGCAAGCTGGAAACTCTTCTTACATCTTTCTTTTCTTCTTCCTCATCTTCCAGAGTTAGTGCTGCCAGCTGTTGAGCTCTTTGCTCCATCAGATTCACATATTTAATAGGATTAGACAATGCTTCAATCACATCTGCAAGGACAAAAGAAATAAGGTCTGATGAAAATTTGCAAGAATCACATTAATCTACAGATCAAATTTTCAGTGGGGGTGACATGCAAGTTTCAATTAAACAATGCAGTGAACAAAGACTTTCTAAATCAGGCTACAATATATCCATTAAATATTTGTATATTGATTGTAATCAATAAAGAGATGTGATCAGATCAGCCAGCAATCTGTTGTTTACCACCATCTCAGTTTTGCTCGCGACCTGAAACCAAACAGTATGAAGCAGCACATTTTTGTTTTACCTGCAAATGTATCAGGGACATAGTCTTTAACTTCTATGTATACAAAGAGGGTTGGTAGCATCAATGGCTGGTTCCGTTCATTCCTTAGACAGATATAGTGATAACCTAAAATACAACGGACAACAAAAATTACAGAGACAATCTTCAGCGTGTTTCCAGTTACTGTAACAGTCCAGTTAAGATATTCAGTTGAATCAGCGGTGAGGTTCATGAACACTTGCTAGACGCGAAATATATTCATATCACAGAACCTATCTCTGCAAACGAAACCATTATGCTCAAGCCTTGTGCTTTTTTTGTATTAATTAGCTGGGATCTTGGGAAGGCTGCAGTTCCCCACTGGTTTCTCCATGGCAATGTCTCAATCATAGAATCCGGTGTGGAGGCAGGCCGTTCGGCCCTTTGAGTCCAAACTGACCCTCCGAAGAGCATCCCATCCAGATCCAACCCCACCCTATCTCTGTAACCCCACATTTCCCATGGCTAATCCACTTAGCTTGCACATTTCTGGATACTACAGGACAATTTAGCCTGGCTAATCTGCCTAACCTGCACATCTTTGGACTGTGGCAGGAAACCAGAGCACTTGGAGGAAACCCACGCAAACATGGGGAGAATGTGTAAACTCCACACAGACAATCACCCGAGTGTGGAATTGAACCCGTGTCCCTGACGGTCTGAGGGAGCAGTGCTAACCACTGAGCCACGGTGCCAATCAATCGGTGTTTACAGGAAAGATAGTGTTTCATTGGATGCAGTTCAGAGAAGGTTCACTAGATGAACCTGGTATGGGAGGAATTGTCTTAAGAGTAAAGGCTAAACAGGTTGGGACTCTACTCACTGGAGTTCAGAAGGATGAGAGGTGGTCTCATTGAAATATACAGGATCCTTAAGGGGTTTGACAGGGTAAATGCTGAGAGGATGATTCCCCTTCTGCGAGAGTCCAGGGCCAGAGGGAATAGTCTCAGAATAAAGGGGCACCTATTGAAGATTGAGACGTGCAGGAACTTCTTCTCTCAGGGGGTTGAGTCTTTGGAACTCCTCGCCCTTGCAAGCCATGGGAGCAGAGTCCTTGTGTATATTTAAGTCTGAGATAGATAGATTCTTGATCACTCCTGACTCCCCAAAGCCTGTCCACCATCTACAAGGCACAATTCAGGAGTGTGATGGAATACCCCCCCACTTGCCTGGATGAGTGCAGCTCCAACAACACTTAAGAAGCTTGACACCATCCAGGACAAAGCAGCCCCCTTGATTGGCATCACATCCACAAGCATCCACTCCCTCCACCACCGACGCTCAGTAGCAGCAGTGTGTACTATCTACAAGATGCGCTGCAGAAATTCACCAAAGATCCTCAGACAGCACCTTCCAAACCCAAAACCACTTCCATCTAGAAGGACAAGGGCATCAGACATATGGGAAACCACCACCTCCAAGCTCTCCTCCAAGCCACTCACCATCCTGACTTGGAAATGTATCGCCATTCCTTCACTGTCGATGGGTCAAAATCCTGGAATTCGCTCCTTAATGGCATTGTGGGTCAACCCACAGCAGGAGGACTGCAGCGGTTCAAGAAGGCAGCTCACCACCACCTTCTCAAGGGGCAACTAGAGATGGGCAAGAAACATTGGCCCAGCCAGCAACACCCACATCCCAGAAATGAGAAGAAAAAAAAACTCGGGGAATAAAGGGCAGGAAAGTGAATGTGAGGAATATCAAATCAGCCGTGGTCCTATTGAACGGTGGAGCAGGCTTGAGGGCCTACTCTTGTTCCTATTTCTTATGGTCTTTTGGACTTTTTCTACTACAGTACAAATGGTTGTGATCGTTCGAGATTTGGCATTCTTGCATGTGTCCAGATGGGGGCACAATGAAAATCTCTACCAACATGTTTTATTTTTGTCTTTTCGGCGACGTTACAGACAAAAGATAGCAAACGGGAATAAAATGAAACCGCAGACAAATTTGCGACTCGTATACGCAACAAAGCTGTGCTCACCTGGTCGAACAGCTTGTACAGGCAGTATACGATGGCCTATAAATTTCCCTCCTTCCTCATAGACAGATATCCGTAATGATGACAGAGATGGTAGCACAACCTGAAAATTAGACAGGTTTCAATTAAAAAAAAAGACACATTTCAAATAATTTGGAAGAATTCAATTGTTTAAAAAAAATTCAAAAGATTAGGGCAAATAATTTTAAAAATTCCAAAATATCTGCTTTTCTCTCTCTATCAGTAATATGCAGAGCTGGTTGCGTACTGGTAATGTCACTGGACTGGTCATATAGAACTCCAGGCTCATGTTTGGAGGACATGGGTTTGAATCCTATTATCTCTGCAACAATGTGGTTGACTCGTAAATGACCTCGAGGCAATCAGGGATGGGCTGGCCTCGCCAGCAATGCCCACATCCCCTGATTTCCCAACTTATTTAAAATTACTGACAAAACAGATCTTTATACATTTTGCAATCCATTGATGCTATTACATGCCTCTGGAGCACATGCGTTAAATAACTTCAGAGAGGCCAGTATCCCATCACCAAGTCACCCTTTTACTTAAACATGGAGAGACCTTGACTCTGATCCAGCTCCGTCAGAGCCAGCTCTCAAGATTGAACAGAACCTCTGTCACTCCTGTTTATATGTATCTATCTGTCAGCCAGGGCACTCTGATGGGACCAGATTAACAGCCCCAATCAGGGAACTCATATTCTATGAGGTCCACCTGGTTGACCTCATTCCAATCACTACAGTTGGACTTGAACCTGGGTCTCCTAGCTCAGAGGTAGGAACATTATCCACTGCACCAAAACATCCCCAAAACCGACCATTAAAGGATGATTGTCACTTAACAAAACATATCTCATATTTGATCATATTGTCCACTCCTCTGGCTTCCTGACTTCACAAACAATCAAGCTTTACATGAGGATCAAGCCTGTTGGCACATGGGCTTGAGGGTGACGCTGGGGGTTCCCTGTCTAAGTGGGGGAACATACAAACAAAGGGCCATGACTTTTTCTTTTGTAGAGTCAAGACAAGAACTCTGGAGAATACTTTGCTGAAGAATTCTCAGCACTATCCTGCTCAGTTTGGAGCTCTTGGCTGGAGATTGAATTACTGTTGTTAGGCATTGCTAATTCTTCTTGAAGCCAATACCTCACTTCTTCCCAATTGTCATTCTCATTAATTCCTCTTTATTATGGATCCCAGAGCGCAGGATCCAAGGGCCTAACCTTTCCCTGTTTTTGGAGATCACTCCATGTGGAAAGTGGGGTGTGTGCATATTATGGCTTACGGTAGCTTTATTTTTAAGGAATGATAGCTGATATTCATGATTTGGTTATAAATTGTGACTGTGCGTAATCACCTCTGATTTTTAAAAAGGACACGTGCAAATATGTATGTGAAATATAAAGCCAGTCTTTAAACTGTTTCAAAAAATCACTTTATGTTGTGAAACTTGAAAGGGTTCAGGAAAGATTTACAAGGAAGCTGTCAGGGTTGGAGGGTTTGAGCTCGGGGGAAGGCTGCATAGGCTGGGTGTATTTTCCCTGGGGCTTATAAAGCTGAGGATTGATTTTATAGAAGTTTATAAAATCACGAGGGGCACGGATAGGTCTTTTTCCCAGGGTAGGGGAGCTGAAAACTAAAGGACACAGGTTTAAGGTGAAAGGCGAGAGATTTAAAAGGCAACTACTGACCAACTTTTTCACACAGACGGTGGTGCGTATATGGTATGAGCTGCCAGAGGAAGTGGTGGAGGCTGGTACAATTACAACATTTAAAAGGCATCTGGATGGATGCATGAATAGGAAGGGTTGAGAGGGATATGGGCCAAATGCTGGCAAATGGGACTAGATTAATTTAGGATATCTGGTTGGCATGGACGAGTTGGACCGAAGGGTCTGTTTCCATGCTGTACATCTCTGTGACTCTATGACTCCATGTCTTTAAATTCTCCACCTACACGATTCTAAATTCTTTTCATTTTTTAAAGGATTTTGCTAGGTTTTTATCATTGTTCATTCCTATTCAGTTCAGAAATGTCACTGCTACTATGCACATGTCTGGGTGTCAGCAAAAGCTGCCTCATCTTTAAACAATTGATGGCAAATCGTGCCAATCAGAATAAAAGCCAGTCCTTGCTGCTTATACCCACTTCTCTCCTGATGGGAAATAACCCATCAGTCAGAAAGATAACTGAAATATTGTAGAGGCAACATGATCAATGAATTTTTGTACTCGGTCTCAAAGCATTTTTCGTTTTCCCAAGGTTCCTCCTTGGATTTCACAAGGGTTACTTTATGACTTTCAGTGGCTCCTTTTTGGGTTTCAGGATCTCCTCTTTGATAGGGTCATAAAGTCATAGAGTTATACAGCACGGAAACAGGTCCTTACCCAACCAGTCCATAATATGAAACTAAACGAGTCCAACCTGCCAGCATTTGGCCCATATCCCTCCAAACCTTTCTTATTCATAAACCTATCCCAATATCTTTCAAACGTTGTAACTGTACCTGCATCCAGCACTTCCTGTAGAAGTTCATTCCACACACGAACCACTCTTTGTGTAAAAAAGTTGCCCCTCATGTTTTTTTAAAATATTTCTCCTCCCACCTTAAAAATAAGCCCCAGTCTTGAAATCTTCAATCTTAGGGAAAAGATACCGGTCATTCACATTATCTACTCCTCATGATTTTATCGACCTCTATTAGTCACCCCTGAACCCCTTATTTCATTCTTATCAAGTCCTCCATCAGGTGATGCAGTCACTTTGCAATAATACCTTCTACATTTGCCTTGACACATCTAGGATTTGAATTCATACAGAAGTAGAATTATAAGAGTTCATCAATATCCCCAATAATCACTGCTCCATTTAACTTAAAGCCACATCACACAAGAAAAGCATTAATTTCCTACCAATCACTGTAAACAAATTAGCACGAGATAATAGGCAAAAGTAAGCAACGAGTGCTTTTTTATTTAACAAATAAATGATACACTAAGAGCCTTCACCATAAATATGCTTTCTGCTGTCTGGTGACATTGCAGCTCAATTTTTAGGTGTTTGTTTCTAACACAGCCATTGAACTTCAATTATTTGTGGTATGTGAGATGCTCTGAGATATGAAATCATAAATCTTTAAGAAATAAAATTATTCAGTATTAAATTATCCTGTTGACATAATGTTTATGACAGTAACATCCAGTACACCATGCCCCCATATCAAAGTACCCGAACAACTGCAGTCTTAAGCTAGAGGTTCCACATTCATTTGCAAGGAATTTATTACCGCAGTTCCCAGGTACGTAAGTATTCCTTTAATAAAAAGTTTAAAATGATTTCTTCCTGCTTTTTCAGCACCTCTGCCTCCTTTGCAGCTCTTTTCTCCATCCTGCTGTACTTTATGGTCTTGCATCATCCCTGTCCTCAGCCTCACTCCTTGGCTTTGTGCCTGCATCCCCTGCTCTTACTAACTGGTGCCATTGATCCAATCCACAAGGTGGATTCTCCCTTGTATTTACTGCTAATTGGCTCAGAAGTGTAGCAAACACCACCACTCGTCCTCGCTGTGGTGAGATTTGAACTCCTGTCTTGCAAGGCACTAACCCTGAGCTTCTCGATTTCTAGTCCAGTGACATTACCAGGTTCCACCTTCCCCCTAAGAAAGGGCTGAACTAAATAAACACAAATATCTCACAGGCTTGAAGGGCTGCAGAAAGTTATAGAGATCAGGAGGAGGGAAGGAAGTGGAAAGATTCAAAATCAAAGGTGAAATTTTAAAGTCGAGACTTTGATAGATGGAGGACCTATAGATCAATGAGCACAGGGCGGTAGGCGAAAGGATACTGATGCAAGTTCAGGTGCGGACAACAGAGTTTTGGATGTGATCAAGCTTATGGAAGGTGGAAGCTGAGAAGCCAATCAGCAGTGACTTTGAAAGAGTTGCTGACCATTGCGCAGGAATTTATAGAGGTTGAGTCAGCAGAATGGGTGCAGAACCCTTTTCATCAGTCTGAAATAAATGCTTGCACACCTCCTGCACGAATGAATTATGAATCAAATGAAGCTAAGACCACAGAGCTAATTTCAGAAGTGCTCAGCGCCGTCGAGTCTGGGAAGGGTGAAAAGTGAGATCAAAGGGCAGACTACATTAAGTCAGCAGATCAGACAGCATCTGCAATGAGAGCTCCGAACAGAAATCATCAACACGAAACCTGCAGTCTGTCTTCCTCTTGGCGTTTGAGTTATAAGGAGAGGCTGGATAAGCTGGGACTTTTTCACTGGAGCATAGGAGGTTGAGGCATGTCGTTATAGAGGTTTATAAAATCATATGGGGCATAGATAAGAGGGGAAATATTTAAAAAGGGACCTGAGTGGCGATTTTTCCACAAAGGGTGGTTCGTATGTGGAATGAACTGCTAGAGGAAGTGGTGCATGCAGGTACAGTTACAACATTTAAGAGATATATGGACAGGTAGGTGAATACGAAAGGTTTGGAGGGATTTGGCCCAAACGCAGGCAAGTGGGACGCAGCAGGCCAGGCAGCATCAGAGGAGCAGGAAAGCTGATGTTTCAGGTCAGGACCATTCTTCAGACCTGAAACGTTAGCTTTCCTGCTCCTCTGATGCTGCTTGACCTGCTGTGTTCATCCAGCTCCACACCCTGTTATCTCAGACTCCAGCATCGGCAGTTCCTACTATCTCACAGGCAAGTGGGATTAGTTTAGTTTTGGGAAACTTGGTCGGCATGGACGAGTTGGACCGAATGGTCTTATTCCATCTTGTATGACTCCATGACTCACCCTGCCTCTTGTGTCAAGATTACAAAGAAGAAAATTAGTGACTTAATTGGTCTCATATGAAATATTGTGACGCTGCAAAGTCTTGGAAGAGAAAGGACAAACCTTTTTAAACACAATTGCGTCATCTTCCCAGATTGGATTTACCGCGTTGTTTTGTGACGTTTTTGTTTTGAAAGCCTTTCGTCTAGTATCCACTGGAAGACCAAACATGTCTATCTCCACGTAAGTCCCAACTTTCTTGTCGGATAGAAATTGACCCGAGAGCACCTGAAAGGAAGCACAAAATCTGCATCTTAATAATGATCTGATGTTCGATAGCACAAGGCAAAGAAAGAAATATTGAATGATCATTGAAAATGAGCCCATTTTGTCTACCAGAATGAAATTTGTAGCATGATGGGTTAATACCTTACTCAAATAACTAGACTGCACCATCTTCGATTCTGAGGGAAGAAGTTTCTAGTGAATTCTTGCTCTACCACATCTCTGCATCTCATATAAATACTTACTTATGTCAGTTTGCACTAATACGGTGTCCAGCCCTCGTTTGCCTCAAACATTCAGAAACTTATCAAAATATTAATCAACATGAACAAAAAAGACTTGCATTCATTTAGCGCCTGTTGTGGGACATCCCAAAACACCTTGTGGTCAGTGAAGTACTTTTGTTATCAATGCCATAATGAGGGAAAAGGAGCAGTCAATCAGGGTGTGCAGCATGAATGACAACATGATAAATGAACTTGTACTGATTGCAACGGGGTCAGCCAGGTGGATCTCAAAGAAGATGGGTTCCCTGATTGGGGCGTGTTAACCTGGTCCAGTCAGGGAGCCCCGGCTGACAGATATAACAGGAGAGTCAGGGGTTCTGCTCCACTCTGAGAGCTTCGGCAACGTGCCTCCCTTTTCAGTGATGGCCTATTTTAATGTTGTTTCAGGGATTAATTCTGAATACATCACCGACATGAACATACTTACTCCTTTTTTTTGAATGGCATCATGGGACGTTTTATGTCAAGATGGGACCTCCATTTAACATCTTACCCAAAGGTTGCTCTTCTGACCTTGCAGCACTCAGTCAATACTGCACTTGTCGTGTTAGCCTGGATTGAGGCCCTAAACATCTGAAGAATGATTACATTCTCACTCTGAGGTGCAAGTGCTACCACTGAGCCACAACAACGGGTACATTAACTTCAGATAAAGAAGGAAACAATTTTATCACTTAACTGGGACAGTCCTTTCTGGGAATGATATAAACTTAATTTTACTAGGTAATCAAGTTGCATTAAACTCTTGAATCTGATGTGCCTTGGGCCAGGACAAATACCTACCATGCTGGGCTTTGCAAATGCATCATCTCTCATACATCTCACCTTCGGAGATATAAAACTTATCTACGTGCAACATCCCATGTGGAATATGGCAGGAAATGCTGCAGTCCCTGTTCTTACCTGGCTAGAAAAGTCATGAGGAGCCCACCCTCGGTAGGAATGGTAGGTCAGTTAATGGTCAGGTAGGTGTCTATAGGCGGGAGGCCAGAGTTCTAGACATCTGAAGCAGGGCCCCCCCCCACCCCGTCCCTGAGATCTGCGAACAGTTGAATGTCCAGCAATTCAATATCCTGATAGAATCATGCGGGAGCAGCGATCACTGCCAGGACTATGGGCCACCCCTAGAGCAGATCACTGCTGGAGCCAGACATCAATTTGAGCGGGGTGGGCTATGGACTAATGGTCGATCACCTATCAGGAAGTGATTAACCTCATGGGTTGGTTTATTTAAAACAGTTACACACATGATAAGTAATGGAGCAGATATTACAACTGATTTCTGTGTGTGTAGCTCAAGGACCCACAGCAGACAAACTGTCAGGCGGAGTCGCAACACTGTATACACACAGCACACAGAGTCTTTAAAGGTGATGTGTGCCAGGTTTGAGAATCCAGTGAGGAGGACAAAAGGTGAGTGCACAATCTTGGTGGAGGCTGTGTCTTTGATGGGCATAGGGGACTCACAAAGGGGGTTCCTTTGCCTTAGCTAATATTAGCCCTTGTAGCTAAAGTTGCTGATTTTCTTGTAAGATGGGCCCTGCCCCTTGCTGTGGGTAAAACAAAAGCGATAAAACACTTCTGTGACCAAAAGCCAGCCTCTTAAGGTTTCAACGGTCCCCAGGATGGGCCGTTGACTGGTGCCTCCACTACCTTTGTAAAATGTTCTACAGTTTGGTGCCAAATAGAAAGGTGGTAGAAAGGTCACCTGCTGGATTTTATGAACCTGCCTGACCATGGGTGGGGATGTGTAATTCTAGCTCAATGGATAAGAAAGTTACAGGCAGAAACATCTCAAGAGTTGTTACCCCTTCAAAACCACAAACAGCAACCACACTTTCACATATAAATATCAGGCCTGTTTCTTTCTGCCTTGCCTCTGGGGTTGAAGTCACACACATACACATACACACACACACACCCCCCCAACACACACACACACACATACGCGCATACACACA